TCAGACAAATGGAAAAGAACAGAAAACCCAGAAATAAAACCATCAGCATATAGACAACTGATCTTCACCAAGGGCTCAAAAACCATCATTTGGGAGGCAGATGCCCTCTTTAACAAGTGGTGCTGGAAACAATGGAAATCTGTACAAAAATGAAACTACATCCTTAACTCACCCCATGCACAAAAACAAACTCAAGGTGGATCACAGACCTAGAAGTAAAACCCCAAATTATCAGGACCATCAACAAAGGTATTGGGACAAACCTAAGGATCCTTGGCTCAGGGAATACATAAACTAACTACAACAGGGAATGTACACATACTGAAGAACCTGAAATTGACAAGTGGGATATACTAAGGAAAAACACCTTTGTGCATCAAAAGACTTCACCAAGAGAGCAACCCATAGACTGGGAAAGGATTTTTAGCAATGACACAACAGACAAAGGGCTTATTACTAAAATCTACAATACACTCCTAACCTGCAAAAAGAAGAAAACAGTTAAACCCCTGAGGAAGTGGGAAAATGACCAGAAAAGAAGTTTCACTAGGGAGGAGACCCAAATGGCCAATAAACATATGAGAAAATTCTCCAGATCACTAACCATCAGAGAAATGCAAATTAAAACCATGAGATACCACCTAACATCCTTGAGGGTAGCCCAAATCAGAAAATCAGAAAGCAACAAATATTGGCAGGGATGTGCACCAGATCACTTTCCACCGAGGCTATACGTATCAACTTGACCACCAGCAAGAACTCTCCTCCATTGCTATCACATGACCCAGCTATCCCTCTACTGGGCATATATATACCCAGAAGAGCTAAGAAATAGACCAAGACCAATGGTCTGCGCTCCAATGTTTATTGCAGCACAATTCACAATCACAAAGAATTGGAAACAACCTAAATTTCCATCGATAGATGAATGGATTAGAAAATCTGGCACATACATGTAATGGAGTACCACACATCACTAAAAGACACTGATGATCACATGAAGCACGTCACCTCATGGGAAGAGTTGGAGGAAATTATGCTAAGCGAAGTTAACCAATCACAAAAGGACAAATACAACATGAGTCCACTGGGGTAAGTATAATCAGCACAGTAGGTATAGAATAAAAGCCATTTATCTCACACTATATGGGTTGAGGTGTGGGGGAACAGGTCAAACCCAGAATCATACATGTCATTCCAACACAAAGACAGGGAAAGGGCAGAGGGGGAGGGAGAAAAGGGGAGAAAAAAAAGCAGGGGAAACAATGGCACTCGGAGAACAGGGCACTAAACCACCCAGTGGGAGAGTATTGGTTATGTCTCCACAGAATTGGGAGTGTGCATGCAGACCCCACCACAGCGCACCAAACCTCGAGG